CGCGTCGCCGCCGGCCGCGACCTCGACGACGCCACGGCCGCAGAGGCCCGCGATGCGCGTCGGCGTCCAGACCTCGGCCGCGGTCTCGTCGGAACCGTCGGACTCGTCGGAGGCGTCGCTCGCGTCGTCGCCGCTCGAGGCGCCGTCCGCGCCGCTGTCGCCGTCGTCCTCGCCGTCGCTCTCGCCCTCGACGCCCTCGACGTCCTCGAGCTCCCCGAGCTGGCCGTCGGCGTTGGAGCCGAAGCCCAGGACGTCGCCGCCCTCGAGGAGGACGACGGAGTGGCTGCCGCCCGCGGCCGCGGCGACGACGACGGCGCCCGCCGGGAGGTCGACGCGCGCGGGCTCGAAGGCGTCGTCGTCGCCGCCGAGGCCGAGCTGGCCGTAGGAGTTGTCGCCGAAGGCGTAGAGGCTCCCGTCGGCGGCGACGGCGAGGGAGTGGTACTTGCCCGCGGCGACGGCCGCGACGGCGACCGCGACGGCGACGGGCTTCGGCGCGGGCTCCTCGGGCCACGCGGGCGGCCCGCGGCCGAGGCGGCCGGCGCCGGCGTGGCCCCAGCTGTACACCCGGCCGGCCGCCGTCGCCGCGAGGCTGTGGCAGGCGCCCGCGGCGACGTGGCGCGCGTCGGCGACGCCGGCGACGACCGCCTGTGTGCAAATCAACCACCGGTTTGGGACGTCCCGACCAAACTTTGAAATTCTCTAGCTCGGTCACATCGAAGTCGATTCTCCTGAATTTCGGACGGGTCGATTGCTCTCATCGAGGTCTCGAAGCACAGCGGATGTGCTCGTGTCACAACCTTCGAATACGCTCACATTGAAGTCGGGTTGAAGATTTGATTCGCACGCAGACGACCGCGGGCGCCGGGTCGCGGTCCGGCCCGCGGCCGAGGCGGCCGTCGTCGCCGCAGCCGAGGCTCCAGACGCGCCCCGCGTCGTCGAGGCAGAGGGCGTGGGCGGCGCCCGCGGCGACCATGGCGACGCGGACGGCGCCGAGGCCCGCGACGGCCGCGAGCGACCCGGGCGAAAAGCCGCGGCCGCCGCCGTGGACGGCGCCGTCGTCCGTCAGCGCGAGGGAGAACCCCCAGCCCGCCGCCGCGGAGACGGCGCGGCCCGCGAGGCCGGGCAGGGCCCGCGGCGCGTGGCGCGCGCCCCGCCGCGGCGCGCCGAGCGGGTCGAAGCCGAAGCCGTAGACCGCGCCGTTGTCGACGACGAGCGAGTGGAGCGACGCCGCGACGCGGCCCGTGCGCAGGGCCGCGGCCCAGCTCCCGTCGAGGGCCGGCGGCCGCGCCGCCGGCGCCGCGCCGCGCCGCTTGAGCGCGGCGGCGAAGAGCTTCTCCGGGGCGACGCCGGCGCGCTCGAGGGCCGCGATCTGGTCCGCGACGTCCGGCGCCGCGTCGAGGAGCTCGCCGAGGCGCCGGATGGTCGTCTCGCGCAGCTCCGCGAGCATGGGCTCCTCCTTCTTTGACGCCTTTTTGGACGACGCCATCGTTTGTATAGGGCTGCCCCTCGCTTCAACATCGGTAATAGCTGCTAAAGATGCCGCTGGCGACGCCTCGAAGCGCCTCAGTCGAAGCGACCATGGCCGCCTGCACCGTGATCGTGCGCGGCCTCGGCGACGACAGCACGCACGAGTCGATCCGCTGGGTCTTCGCGGACCGCTTCGGCCCCGTGAAGCGCGTGGACGTCATCAAGGGCCGGGGCTTCGCCTTCGTCAAGTTCGCCGCGGAGGCCGACGCCAAGGCCGCCGTGCAGGCCGGCCGCGACACGGGCGTCGAGGTCGACGGCGTCTGGGCGAGCGTCGACGTCGCGCGCGACAAGGGCGCCAAGCACCCGGGCGCGGCCGCGGAGACGCCCGCGGAGAAGCGCGCCAAGGCGCCGAAGCCCGACGAGGCGGTCAAGGGCGAGTCGAGCCGGTCGAAGCGCGCGCGGTCCGTGCGCGTCTTCGGCGTCGGCGACGACGTGCCCCAGAAGGCGCTCTACAAGCGCCTGCGCAAAGTCTCGGGCTTCGAGGCCGTCGACTTCGCCGCGCCCGTCGCGGCGGGCGCCGCCGCGCCCGCGGGCCGGCCCGCCGTCGCGGCCTTCAAGGACCTCAAGGCCGCCCTCGACGCCGCCGCGAAGCTCGACGGCTGCACCTTCAAGGGCCGCACGCTCGCCGCGCGGCTCGAGCGCGACGTCGACCTGTCCAAAGACCAGCGCGGCCGCCTCATCGTCCGGAATTTGCACTTCGGCGCGGGCGCGGCGGACCTCGTCGCGGCCTTCCTCGGCTTCGGGCCCCTGCGCGACGCGCGCGTCGCGACGGTGGCCGGGGGCGACAAGTCGCGGGGCTTCGGCTTCGTCGAATTCGAATGCGCCAGGGACGCGGAGAAGGCGCTCGCCGCGGCGTCGGCCGAGGGCGAGCCCTTCGAGGTCAAGGGCCGCGCCGTCGCCGTCGACCTCGCCGTGAGCCGCGGCGACTTCGCCAAGGAGGCGCGCGCGGCGAAGGAGGGCGCGGCGGAGGAGGACGTCGACGAGACGGAGGAGGTCGACGAGACCGAGGAGGTCGACGAGATGGCGTCGCGGGAGGACGAGGAGGAGGAGGTCGACGAGATGGCGTCGCAGGGCGAGGAGGCCGACGCGATGGAGGAGGACGAGGTCGACGAGATGGCGTCGCGGGACGACAACGAGGACGACGACGACGAGGCGGAGGAGGACGACGACGACGAGGAGCAGGACGACGACGACGACGACGACGACGACGACGACGACGAGGAGAGCCCCGCGCCGTCGTCGAAGGCCCCGGCCCCGGCCGCGCCGCCGGCGGACGTCGGCGAGGGCCGGACGCTCTTCGTGCGCGGCGTGCCCTACGGGGCCACGCGGTCGGCGCTCGCGGCCTACTTCGGCGAGGCCGTCGGCGCCGTCGCGTCCGTGCACCTCCTGAAGGACGCGGCGACGGGCCTCGGCACGGGCGCGGCGTTCGTCAAGTGCGAGTCCGCGGCCGACGTCGCGGCGGCGCTCGGCGGCGACTTCGCGTTCGGGGGCCGGCCCCTCGTCGTCGCCAAGGCCGTCGACCGCGGCGAGGCGAAGAACCTGCGCGACGCGGACCGGCTGGGCCTCGCGAAGAAGCGCCGGCTCGACGGCGCGGGCGACGGGCGGCACCTCGCCTTGGCCGACGAGGGCCTCGTGGCGCGCGGCGACGCCGCGGCCGCGGGCCTGCCCGACGGCGACCTGAAGAAGCGCGAGCGCGCGCGCGAGGAGCAGCGGTCCAAGCTCAAGAACCCGCTCTTTCACGTGAACCCGCTCAGGCTCAGCGTGCGCAACCTCGCGAAGCACGTCGGCGACGCGGATCTGAAGGCCCTGGCCCTCGGCACGCCGGACCTCGACCGCGGCGCGCTGGGCGCCTGCAAGGTCATCCGCGACGCCGCCGCCGGCGGCAAGGCGTCGGGCCCGTCCAAGGGCTACGGCTTCGTCGAGTTCGCCGACCACGACTCCGCGCTGCGCGCGCTCCGCCACCTCAACAACAACCCGGCGCTCTTCCACGCCTGCGGCGCGCTGTGTGGAAATCAAATCTTCAACCCGACTTCAATGTGCGCGTATGCGACCGTTTCGACGCAAAGCTTTCTGCCGTGCTTCGAGAACTCGACGAGAGCAATCGATCCGTCCAAAAATCAGCCGAATCGACTCCGATTTGACCGAGATAGAGAGTTCTGAAGTTTGGTGGGGACCCCCCAAACCAGTGGTTGATTTCCACACAGGCGGCGCGTCCAAGCCCACGGACCGGCACCGCGCGCCCCGGGGCGACGCGCCCCTGCCGCGGCCCATCGTCGCGTTCGCCGTGGAGAACGTCAAGAAGGCGCGGCAGCGCGCGGACCGCGTCGCCGAGGCGCGCGCGCGGAACGCGCCGGACGCGGCGGCCGGGCCGTCGCGCAAGGAGCGGCGCACGGCGAAGCGCATCGCGAACCGCC